TCCTTGTACAGAGAAATAAAGCGTTTGTTTCCTGTTCCCTGCCGCTCCCCGTCACTGCCGTGGAAGGAAATGTGTTTTTGAATGGAACGTTATCAGGGTCCGAGATTACCGAGGACTGAGTGGCAGTGGGCGGCTGGGATTCAAACCTTCAGTCGGTGTGAGGGACAAGCCCAGCCCGGCCTCCTCACGCAGTCCTCTCAGCGTTTGGGGTTTCTTTATTTTTTCTCTTATTTGTTTGTTTGTTTTATGTTCCCAGTCATGTTTTGTGTGCTTTTTTGGCTTTATTCTTCATTTATTTGTTGTTGTTTTTAAACAAACAAACGTGTGACGGGCATTCAGTAAATAGTTACTTTTTTTCCTAATCTGTTTTTGAATTTCTTTGTTTTTATTTTTTGCCCCACAATTTTATTAATTAATTCTTTTTTGGTAAATTGATTTTTTTACGTTTACATTTTCCTCATAAATATTTGTACATTTTAGTCATTTTTGGAGGGAATTTTTTGGGATCTTTTTGTGTTTTATTTTACATTTTTTAAAGTAACGTTTTTTTTGTCAATATTTGAATTCTTTCCCTTTTTTATTATTTTGATATTTGAGTTTAGAAAAAGTCATATCTTTATGAAAAAACTAATTAATTCGTGGTATGTGTTTCTTGTAAATTTGTAGTTCTCTGCTCTTGTTTTGGGGGCTTTCTGTCCTAAATATTTGAGTTTCTTGTGAATGTGGGCGGTGTTAAGATGTGACCACGCCCTCCCAGCAGCCGGTCGGCCTTCACTGTGAGTCGCTGCATTATTATTAGACTATTTTCAGCGTGACCTTGTGCTGGTTTGTCTCACTGCTGTGGACAGAGTCGTGGTTCTGCAGCTTCAGCAGCTAAAATTTGGAGAAGTTTGACGTTTACCTGTTTAATGTTTACCTGCGTTTGCCTTCCAATCAGACATGTCTGTGGGCGGGGCTTTGCTCCAGAGAGAGTGGTGGCTCCATCAGAGCCGAGTCGGCATATTTTAAATGTTACTTGTTCATTTATTATTTTTTAATAGCCTTTATTGGATGGAGACAGACAGGAGGCACAGTGGGGGGGGGGGTCGGATTCGTACCCGGCTTCCTGGCCATGGATCACACGGTCGCCAGCTCACCCTCTGAGTAAACTGGTGCCCAGAATTCATTTATCTGATTGAATTTCTGTGAATAAAGTTAGGATGCAGTTGCTGTGAATGTTGAGTCCTACAAAGAGCGTAGTTTGGATGCGAGCGCAGATCCCACTAAAGGGCGTCACGCCCTCACGCCACCATCACAGGGTCTGTCTGGGAGATCTCAGTCAGACGAGGAGCCGCTGGAGGTCGCCGTGCTCCTCCTGTGCCTCCTCACACTGAGGAGCGGATGGTGGTCCGGTCCCGGCGTCTACTCCTCCTCCTGATGCTGCTGGCAGACGCAGCAGGTGTGGACGAGCTGCATTACCTGTGCAGCACGAACGGGTTGCAGCAGGCGCGAGGACACAGAACACTCCCCTCCCTTGTTGCTGCCGCTCTGATCACACCTGTGCAGGTGAGACACAATTTGTCACCTTTCAGTGTGAGCTGTTCACGGGGCAGTCGGCTCTCGGGCGCTAGACGTTTCATCTGATGACATCAGGACTGCCTTGGAGTCCCACGGCGTGTTTGGGCGCGGTGAAGTGACCGCGGTCGGCGGCTGGTTGGATGTGACTCATTGCTGCATCTGCAGTTTCCTGCACATGGTCACGGTTCAGCTGCACATGCGTGTCTGGCGTGTTTGTGCTCTCCCCTTGCTGTGTGTTCGGCTCTGCAGGAGAAGTGTTTCCTCTGAGAACTACTAGTGTTTATCTTTTTGGAGAAGGAACCATTGGACTTGTTTTGTATTTTTCTGATTTATTTTGAAGTCAGAGCTTTCCCTGAAGCTCGTCTTTGTTGTCCTTAATAAGGCTGGTGTTATCTGTGAGGGTGCTGTGGAAGTCAGGTCGGGTGCCTGTGTTTGGTTTCCTCGTCAGCGGATGTAGGTTTGCTTCTGCAGCACAGGAAGAAAGCTGCAGGTGTTGTGCGAGCTGGATGTGGAGGGTCATCGGCTGAATTTCAGAGCGCGGTGGGAGCCTCACTTTATCCTCCACGCAGAGCGCTGGTGAAGCGGTGAGGTGAGGACGGGGCTGAGGGCGTCGGGCCAACGAGAGACAGACGTCCTCTGTTCTCAGGAATGCTCGCTCGCTGCTTCTCCGGCCTGATTGGGGGGCTCGTGCCGGGGCCGACTGGTCACTGCTGTCTGATTTGGTAATTTGCGTCCTCAGGCAGTGGGACGCTGCTGAAGTCCAGGTGTGTATGAGGACTGAGTTCAGTCCTTTCCATGCTTATATTTTTTAAACATTTTACAAAATTTCCTTATTTAATCTGCCAGAGACCAGCACCTTCGACTTGTACTTCACCGGACAGTCTGATTGCTTTTATTTTGAAAGATCCAGCCCTTCCTGTCTCGTGCTTCCCTCCTCACAAACACGGCCCTGCTGACCAGTCTGTCCTGCTCAGGTGAGCTGGTTGGTTAGTGGTTTAGGAACCAGTTCTCCACCTGTTGCAGGTTCTGGTTCTGGTGCAGGACCTCCAGACTAGAACCAAGACTACATCACCAGCTGCAGTCCAGCGCAGAGGTGGAGGACTTCGTCCGCAGGATGAGAGCCTTAGTGGGAAAGCAGCAAAGAGACAGGAAGGGCTGGGAACTTTCAGAATAAGAGCCAGGATGTTGCTCTCCAGTCAACCGATCAGATTTTGTGAGAACGTGAAAGGCTGTTAGAGGCTGTGGTGTTTCTGGAGGGTGGGGGAGGAATCACGTTCAACATGTTTAAATCCACTCGCGTGTCCAAGACTCAGATGAGACTTTCTTTCAGTTTGACGGGTTTTTGTTGCTCACATAAAATAATTGAAGTTGTTTTTGTTCCGTTTCAGTGTGTCCGCCCTCCGCTCCCTCCTCTCTGGTTTCCTGTCTGGTACAGGCTGG